GGAAGGCCAGGCGCGAGGGGGAGGGCCCCGATGGCCCTACTCGTTGTCCTTGCCGCCCTTCTTGCGGCCGCTCTCCTGGGCGTAGAGGCGCTGCTGCTTCAGCGTGAAGGCCCCCGTCTTCTGCTCGTCGGCGATGAAGCGGGCGAAGTCCCCGACCGCCAGGGTGGCGCCGCTGTCGAGGCGGCTGTGGATCATCATCTCGAGGCCCAGGAAGTCGGGGTTCTTGGGCGACTTCTTGACTGCGCGCTCGATGTAGAGTACCCGCCGAGCCAGCATTTCCATCGCAGCGCTCTGGAAGATCTCGAGCAGGTCGAAGCAGAGCGCGTGGTGCAGCACAGACACGAGGCTCTGCTGATGCTTGGCGACGCCAGCCTCGGCGCTGACCCCAGACGACCTGGCCCACGCGGAGTGGTAGCTCTCCAGGGACTCCCCAGAGGCACGAATCCCGCGCAGCAGCTCGAGGGAGGCCGAGGGCCCGCGGAAGGGCCAATCCTTGGCCTCGGCCGTCGTCATCCCGTCGCGGCCCTCCTTGAAGTCGAGGTAGCGGGCGTCCTGCGCGTCGCGGCTGATCGCGAGCACCCGCGGGTCGCGGCCGGCGCCCGTCTGCTTCTCCTCCTTCCAAGCCGCCAGGTCGCCGGGTAGCAGCCGCTCGACCGCCACCCACCTCTGGTCGTCCATCCTGGCGAGCCCGGTGTGACCCCGGGAGACGAAGCGCCCGGGGTTGGAGGTGACGGCGACCTCGACGGCGGTGCCGAAGTGTTCGTCGGCGGGGTCGGCCACGTGCCAGACGGCCGCCGACGCAGCAGCAGCAGGCGCAGCTCCACCCAAGATGCTCGCCAGCGCGTGGGCCTGCTACATCAGGCCCGCCAGCTCCTCCTCCCCCAGCGGGTCGAACCCGAAGAAGTTCCCCCGCAGGCGCGGCGGGATCGGACACCCTCGCACCAGCGGCACGATGCGCGAGGTGGAAAGGTTCCGCACCTGGACGTCGAGGGTTGGAGTCGCATACACCCACCGCCCATCGTCGCCGATCTTCACCAGGAGGATGCGGTGGTGCCACCGAAAGTTCGGGTCGTCGTCGAACGCCTCGGCAATCTGCTGCTGCTCGATGTCGAGGGCCTGAGGGACGGCAGCCATCAGCGGCGACGCCGCGGCACCCAAACGTCAGGCTCGTCGACAACAGCCAGGCCAGCACCCCCAGCGTCGCGGTCGCCCAGCGCCAGCGGCGACGGCGCCGCGCGGCCCGCGGCCAGGGCGGGGGGCGCGGCGGGAGCCCCAAACGAGGCCCCGGCCGTCGCTGTGCCGACCCAGCGGCCGTGGCACCACAGGCGGCAGGCCGCCGCGAGACCCAAGGCTAGGGTCGCAGCAGCCAGAGCGGCGGCCCACACCGCCGAAGTCGCCCAGCCGCAGGTGCAGGCGGGGCAGGCGACCGCCGCCGGACAGGCGGCCTGCGAGGGGCAGCTCGCCTCGGGGCAGATCGCCGCCGGGCAGACGCAGGCCGGGCAAGGCGCCGCCGGCGGGCAGGTCAGTGTGGGGCAGGCGGGCGCCGGGCAGGCGCAGGGCGGGCAGTCGAGGACGTGCCCGCAGGAGCCCTGCCCCGCCGCCTCGGGCCCGGCCCACCAGCCCCCGGTGAGGCCACCGAGGAACGCCGCGATCGCGGCGGCAGGGGCGCCGAGCGGGCCGGGCCCTCCCATCCCAAGCCAGAAAAGCTGCAGAGGACTCCGATGCGGACTGTGATAATGTGGCACACTTTCAATCATCATCATCATCATCATCATCATCATCATCATCATCATCATCATCATCATCATCATCATCATCATCATCATCATCATCATCATCATCATCTCATCATCTCATCATCATCATCATCATCATCATCATCATCATCTCATCGTCGTCGTCGTCGTCGTCGTCGTCGTCGTCGTCGCATCATCACATCATCATCATCAGCAGCAGCAGCAGCAGAGCAGTATCCTCATCCTCTTCCTCCTCCTCCTCGCTCCGCCTCTCTCCCCCTCCTCCTCCTCTCCTCCTCCTCCTGCCTCCGCCTCCTCCTCCTCCGCTTCCTCTCCTCCCCTCAATCATATCATCCCCCATCCCTCATCCCTCACCACGTCTCCTCCTCCTCCTCTTCCTCCTCCTCCTCCTCCTCTCCTCGTCCCCTCCTCTTCCTCCTCCTTCTGCGCCTCCTCCTCCTCCTCCCCCTCCTCCTCCTCCTCCTCCTCCTCCTCCTCTCCCTCCTCCTCCTCCTCTCATCCTCCTCCTCCTCCTCCTCCTCCTCTCCCTACCACCTGCACCACCTCCAACTCCTAACCCACCCCACCTCCCGCTCCTCCCTCCTCCCCCTCCCTCCTCCTCCCCCTCCCCCTTCTGCAGCGCACGAACGCGACGCACGCTCACGCCCGCGCACACACTCACGTACCGCGCACACGCACGCTCACACCGCACACACACCACACACTACACACAGCGGCGCAACACACAACACCCACATACACACACACACACACACCACCACGCACTCACGCACACAAACACACACACATGCACACACAATCACACCACGCACACACACACACACACACACCGCGCGCACAACCCACACCGCACACGGCACACACACACACACACACACACCACACACACGCACGCACGCACGCACGCCACACACACAACACACACACACCACACACACACACCCACAAACACACAAACACACATACACACACACACACACACACATACACACACACACACAGCACACAAGCCACACACGCAACACACGAAACCACGCACACGCACAAAAGCGCACACGCACACGCACACGCACACACAAGCGCACACGTCAGGTCTGACTCGCATGAACCGTTTTGTACTTCAAGGCTCTGTCTGGCGTCGGGCCTGCATGTCTTCGAGGCTCTGCCACGTGGGACGGCGAGTCCTTCGTAGGCCCCTCACCCGCACCCTCCGCGCACCCGTCGAGAGGCGTTCGTCTGCTGCGCCGCCGCCGCCGCGTTCCTGCATCCCCGCGCGGCGGCCTCGAGGTGCGGTGCAGGCCCGGGTCGAACGCCCTGGCCGCCGCTGCTCTGTTCGACTCTCTCGCCAAGTCTGCGCGCATCAGTCATGGCCGATTCTTCGTCAGCTCAGTCAGCGAATGTGCTGTTTCAGGCTGACCAGCCAGTGGTTGTGCTATAGCAGACTTCTTGTTTGAGGTTTCGGCCTCCCGTTTCTGGCGTACGCGGGCTGCGTTGCCATGGCTGGTATCGCAACCAATCGTCCTGCTTCTTCTCCTCCCTCCCCCTCCTCGAGCGTGGCTGCGGCGCGCCAAATCCTCGTTCGGGCCGGTGCCGACGGCCGCGATCAGCGCCTCAGATGGGCCCTGACCACGGCGAGAAGGAATCTGACCTCCTCAGGGAGAAGGGCCCGCTGCAGCTGGGCCCTCAGGGCGCGAGCAGCTGAGCGAAGAAGACAAGATGCAATCGGAGATTCACATCGTGCTTTTCCTCCCCCCCCCCTCCTCCCTCCGGGGCGCCCCCTCGGGCGCGATGGGGCGGGGAGCTCTGGGGCCGCGAGGGCAGAAGAGTCACGTCGGAGGAGAAGCTTAGGGTCGGGCATGTGCTCCTGCGGGCGGATTCGGGAAGAAAAACCACACGTCAAAACCTGCGCAGAAGTGTGCAGAGGAGCACGAAACATCGTCCCCTGACTACGTTCTTACTAGTCTTGAAGATTCCTCCTGTAAATGGAACTTGCCCGACTCGACTCTTGGACCGCTTCCGAGCCCCAGCGCCACCAATGAGGGGCCCTTTGGGCCCACGGCCGCCCTCTCGGGAGAGATGGGGGGGGAGCTCTCTGGGGCCGCGGGCCGGAAAAGTCACATCGGAGGATCCATGGGGGCTTGTGGCCGTGGTCAGCGTGGCCGTCACTCTCCATGGTCGTTCTCGTCGTCGTCGCCGGACGCGGGCGTGGCCGTGGTCGTGGCCGTGGCCGTGGCCGTCGTGGCTGTCGCCGTCGTTGCCGTCGTCATCGTCGTGGCCGTGGCCGCCGTGGTAGCTGGGTTCGCCGCCGTCGCCGCCGTCATAGCCCTTGATATCGTCGTTGTAGTCGCCGTCGTGATCGTCGCTGTGATCAGGGTCGATGTGGTGCTCGTCGTCGTGGTCGTCGTGTCGCAGCCGGTCCAGGCCTCCAACGCCTTGGTACAAATCGAGATCGAAGATCTAATTGTTTTGACTGCTGGGCTCTATCTCTAGGCCTCTGGGGACTCCCCTTAGCCACGGCTGCATCCCACTTGAGAGTTTGGCGGGGACACACCCCAGCGCAGGGCGGTCGCCCCGATATTTGCCGCGACGTGCGAAGAAGATCGCCGCACGTGATTCTGTGGTCGGTTCAACACTAATGCGTGCTGTGCGGCAATGCTTCGTCATCGTGAAGGGACTGGAGAGGAAACGAGAGACCATGCGCCCGAGATCGGACTTGGCACGTTGGACTGCGACGGCACAGGCTGTGCGCGGCATGACAGGAAAGCCACAACGCATATTGAAGCAATGTGTGTGGGGGGGGGGCACGTGACGCCTGCCGCGTGACCTCATGGAATTCTGCAGGAAGTTGCGGCGCTCAGAGTTCAGAGGTGATGGGCCAGAGGAGAGCAGCCCGCTGCATTTTAACCTGCTGTCTTGGATCAACTTCGACAGTCTCTGCAGGCCCCTGCTTCGCAGATGCTACTCCCGCTCGGCAAGAAAGAAGAATTGGACAAGGAGCGCTTGCACGCTCGAGGAACAGGCGCTGCAGCTACAAGCGCGCAAGAGGAGCCGCTAGCTGATGCAACAAGCGTGCACGAACCGCGGCTACAGCTACAAGCGCAGCAAGAGGAGCCGCCACGTCCACGAGTGCCACCACGAGCTTCCACGATAGACCCCACCTCTCAGAGAAGCACGGCGGGGCCGCACAGCTGAGCTTTGTCGGGAGTGCAGCTACGAGGGCCCTAACGCCGCCAGAAATTCGGACTAAGCAAACATGCGCTGCAGCCTCCACACGGAGCGGTACGAACCCCTCGCACTGCAGTGCCGCACCTGTACAGCAGGTCTTGCGCAAAGGATATCACGTTCTCCCTCGTGCCATGGCCGTACTAGGGCATCATGTGAAAGGCTATGCCACTGCCCGTCGCTCTCGCATCCGATGATCCCCGCACTGTAGGTGAACCCTCCCCAGAGCTCCGACTTCGCTCCTGTTCACGCACGGGCCCCCTGGAAATCCCAACGCCTGCCCTGGGATTGGCACATTGGTCCCCAATCGGTGTTTGACGTCGCCGGTGCCCGAAGACGGCCCCCACAGGCCAGACACCGCAGCAGCGTCAACAACACCAACCAAGAGGCAACCGCTCCATCGTGGCTTTTGTCATCTATCCTCGGTCCGCGCTGGCCCGCCAGGTCCTGGGGATTCTCGGCGCGCGGGCGACACCCACGGGCCTTCCACGCAGAGCGTCAACGATAATACAAAGACGTCCGATCCGTATCCACGCCCTCGTCGGTCTAGATTCCCGGGCGCGATCCCGTGGGTACGCGGTGGCAGGGATGCCTTCCGCGCGGGGCGCCTGCGAAGAAAACGCCCCGAATACCCACGGGCTCGCGCCCCGGGAGCCCCGCCCGCGGGGCCGCGGGTACGGACATGCTTCCCGCCCGCGAGATCACCCGAGCACCTCATCTGTACGTCCGGTCATCTGCAAGGGTCGGTCCGCAACACAGCCTCCCCTCTCAGCAGTCCTCCAGCTCTGGACCACGTCAACAGTGGAGGCGTCTGAAACAAGCCAAGGTCCCCCCTCCCTCGACTGGGGGCGGTGGAAGCCTAAGAGAATCAGACACAGGGCCTGCATCGGCAATTCCTTTGGGCTCGAATTCCCAGGGCGTGACACTTTCAATCAATTCGCGCACGCCCCTTCAGCCCACCGCCGCATCCACCCGATGGAATCACCAGCGTGGCCGATAACAACTCAACTGGCAATCCTGGACACCCCGAATCAAGGTGACGTCATTTCTTGAGCGGGCAACCTTTACTTCCGCTGGCTTCCGCCGAGCTTCCCCTGGCGGAGACGCCCTAGTTCCTGGGGAAACCAATGGGTACCGATACTGCAACTCCCCGGACCTCTCCCAGGGTGCGTTCTGACCTGGATTTCGAAGCGAATCTACCGGTGGCGCCGAGGGCCCCCCAGGCCCCCCAGGAGGCCCCAAAAGGGGGAAACGATGGAAGGGTAGCGGTATGGGCACCTCTTCTTCCTCTGAGTTTCACTTCCGCCGCCTTCCGCCGAGGAAGAGGCGTCAACTCCTTCGACCCTCGGAGGCGAGGCTTTCCTTCCGCCGAGGACGGGACGCCAACTCCTCCCAGCCTCGAAAGCGAGGTCTCCCTTCCGCCAAGGAAGGGACGTCGACTCCTCGGAGCCGCGAAAGCGAGGCCTCCCTTCCGCCAAGGAAGGGACGTCGACTCCTTCGATCCGCGAAGGCGAGGCCTTCCTTCCGCCGAGGGAAGGACATCAACTCCTCCGAGCCTCAAGGGCGAGGCCTTCCCCCCGCCGAGGAAGGGGCGTCAGCTCTTCCGAACCTCGAAGGCGAGGCCGTCCTTCCTTCCGCCGAAAAAAGGACGTCGACTCCTCCGAGCCTCGAAGGCGAGGCCTTCCTCCCGGAGCGCCCTCCCACGCCGAACGACGCCAGCGCCGCGCCGCTGGGCACCCCGAGGGGAGTGGCCTCCTCCCTCCTCCTCCTCCTCCTCCTCTCCTCTCCTCCTCCTCCTCCTCCTCCTCCTCTCCTCCTCCCTCCTCCCCTCCCTCCTCCCTCCTCCTCCTCCTCCTCCTCCTCCTCCTCCTCCTCCTCCTCCTCCTCCTCCTCCTCCTCCTCCTCCTCCTGTTCCTTATAAATAACTTCTCCCTGTCGCACCCCGAGGCCAGTTTTTATAGGGGGCCGGGCATTTCGCCTGAGACTTCCGCACCACTTATAACTCTGGAGCTTAAGTATTGGCAGCAGCTTCACATATGGAGGGTGGGTGGTTTTCAACATGCGGCTCTCGCCTTAGCACCGCGCACATACTTTTTGAAAGTTCGCAATAGCTTCACGTATTGAGGACAACCCTTTTTCAAAATGTGACTTTCGCTGTAGCGCCGCGCACATTCGCTTCAAACATTTGCGAGAGCTTCACGTATTGAGGGCGGCTCCTTTTCAACATGTGGCTCTCGCCTTTGCGCCGCGTGCATTCGTTTATAACATTTGCAAAAGTTTCGCGGAATCCCATGGTCAGCGTACCAGAACTTGCGATGTGTAAGGATTCTGGAATTTGCGGGCGCAACAGTTGCGTTGATTCGTGGTGTTGAAACCCCAAGAATGGCGTTCTGACACGATCCAGGATTGTCAAGACGCAACAGTCAGGTTGATACGTGGCGTTGGAATACCGAGAACAATGTTTTGGCATGCTTCAGGGTCTTCAAGCGGTTGTCTTCCAACGAGGCAGTTCCCTCCATGGGAATGAACCGTTGTAGGGGTCTATGACGAGGGAGCTTGCAGGGAGGGTGTATTCCAACATCGTTGATGGCTCTTGGGTTTACACTGGTCCTCCTCCTCCTCCTCCTCCTCCTCTCCTCCTCCTCCTCCTCCTCCTCCTCTCCTCCTCCTCCCCTCCTCCTCTCCTCCTCCTCCTCCCTCCTCCTCCTCCTCCTCCTCCTCCTCCTCTTCCTTCTCCTCCTCCTCCTCCTCCTCCTCCTCCTCCTCCTCCTCCTCCTCCTCCTGAGCACTCCTCAGAAGGTCCGGGGGACTCCCCCCAATTTCCGATGTTTTTGGACGTTCGCCTTCCCCCGCCGTTACCATATTTTCTGCCGTCTTGCCCCCGGGATCGACGACTCCTGGTGTCTGTGTGCTGATGTTCCCCTCCTATAGGCCTCCCCAAACCCCCGAATGCCGGAACGCCCGGGAACTCCCGGGCGCTGCCAGGAAGCTCTTGGGCTGCGCCGCGTGATGTTCCCATAGGTCCGCGGAGCGCGGTGCGCAAGCCACACCTCCAACAGGCTCCGAGGCACAATCGTGACACCCATGAAGACCGCTGCGTGCGGAACGGAAGGGCTCCTGTGGCCGCGGCGCTGAGATCTGTGGGGCGGCCCGAGAGCGCGGGCCCCTCCGGAGCCCAAGACCTACCCCCACGGCCTCTGCCTCCGCGTCCTCGCCCGTAGCCCCAGCGGGCCGTCCCGGGGCTCCTCTCTTTGGGGGACTGCTCGGCCGTCGTGGAGGCCCCGGGGGCTGGCCCGGGAGGCTAAAGCGGGTGCAGAACTACGTACGGCAGGTCCGTGCGGCGTCGGCGCGCACAGAGAGCTGGACACCGCGTCGATCGTTCGACCTCGAATCGACCGCGGCCCCGGTCGTTCAAGGTTGAATTCGGTCGGGTCCAAGGGCGTTGCAGCAGGAGCCCGACCACAAGAAGCCTTCCACAAGAAACCCAACCCTGAGACCCCAGGGCGGCCAGTGATTTTTGGTGTGGGAACGCCACGCTTTCCGCAGCAAAACCATCGAAACCCAGGAACCCTGGGGCACCCTGGAGGCCAACCAAGGTGCTTCTCGGCATTGGGCTTCCACTGTACCGTGTCCGTCGGTGTTTCCGCGCCGCAGAAGTCCACCTGGAGCGCGCCCTCGCTGGCATCACAGGCGCGCCCACGCCGCACGAACCGACCGCAGGTGAGCGTTTTCGATTCGGCGTGTTTCGACATTGGGCGGAAGGGGGGGGGGTCTGGCTCAAGACCTCTGCTTAACGCGACTGTTTGCAGCAGTGTGTCCTGTGGGGGGGGAGACTCCACCCGCTCGAAACAGGCGCCAAAAAACGCCCAAGATCTACTCCATGGGGGGGAGGGAGGGGGGGGTGCGAGGGCCCGCGTCGATCGGCAAAACAATGAATAAAACAACGATCACCTGCTTAATGTGACTGTCTGCAAGAGTTCGTCCTATGGGGGAGACTCCACCTGGTCGAAACAGGCGCCACAAACAGCCAAGGTCTGCTCCAAGAGAGAGGAGAAGGTGGGGGGGAAGGCGATGGGTCCGCGCCGCGATGGGCAAGACGAGCAACAGCCTCCCGTCGTGGTCTTTTCGTGGACCGAGGGGGTCTGCGGAGGGAGAACTCGAGCTGCTACTTGAGCTGAGCCCTCCGCCCCACGATAGCCAACAAGAAGACAGCCGGTAGGCCACAGGCCAACGGGGGCGCACAAGACGACCCCCGCAGGGCCCCCAGAGCCCAAGAAGATCCAAAGACGCATCCAAGCCTCAAAGATCACGTAGCCTCGTCTCTACAGCAGGGAAGCGTCGCGACCAAGACTGTATCCGAAGATGCGCCCGGGTGTGACCGAAACTGGCGCCCAAAATGTTCCGACCGCGCCCAGGTATGACCGAAATGCCTGGTTCGAAACCAAGACGATCTTCAGCTTCGGTCACAATTTCGGTCACACGACGTTTTTGGTCTCAATGTCGGGCAGGTTTTCGGTCACCGATTTGTGTTCGGTCACCTACATTTTCGGCTGACAGGGGCAGCGTGTCGTGAGGCCGCCCAAAAGGGCCCAAAGAGATCCATGAGGCCGCCTGACCAAGACCCAGACACGGTGGCGGCCATGAGATACTGACTGTAGACGACTGGCAACACGACTTGGCCGCTTTCAGTCCGCGCCCTGCTGCGCACCGGCCCAACGCCCTCACCACATATGGCCGACTCTGGAAGCCCTGGGTCCGAGATGGTCGAGGTCTCACCTTTGCGTCCGCTGCCTTCCACCGACCTTCCGCCGACGGAGCCGCCCTAAGTCAAAACCGATAGTAAGGATGCGCAGTGAGGATAAAAGCTCCTTGGACGCCCGCGGGAAGCTTCTTCGAGCGCAGCGGGCCATCGAACGTAGTCAAGCATGGACCCATGATTGGCGACGCGCCCAGGGGGGAAGTGAGAAGGGGCGGGCCTTCTTAGTAGAAGGCTCGGAAGTCCCCTGGCCGTCTGAGAAGTTCTCTGAGCCTTCCCCGAAGACGCAGGACACCTCTCCGAAGGCGCCAGGGCCTCCCGAGCAGCCCCGGCGCCTCCCGAGAAGGGCCCTCCCAAGCTCTCGCTCCCCCCTCTCGCTCGCCGCCGACGAGAGGCACGGACGCCAGGCTTTTACCCGTGGGGAGGCGACCCGTCCTCACCATCGGTCTCGGCGTCTCGACTCTGTCAAGGGACCCCAGGACACACAAATAATTACACACAAATAAAACTATTCTCTATATTTTCCTATATTTTCTGGGTTTTTGTCTTCCCGCCCAATTCCCATATTTTCCCATATTTTCTGGGGAGTCGAGGATTAATTGTGTCTGTGTGTTTTTTCCTCTCCTTACTCTGCACCTCCGCCGGCCCTCTGCCGAGCACGGGACGGCGCCCCGCGGGCTCCCCGAGGGGGACACGCCTCCCTACAGGGAGCGCACTCCGCGCGTCTGCGCCTCCGCGGCGGCGGCCGGTGGCCCGACGAGGGCCCGCGGAGCGGGCCATGGCACGCCCGCGGGCCGCGGGGAGCAGCCCCAGAGGCCTCCCAGCGGAGGTCCGAGTAGGTTCGAGGTTCGAGGTTCGAGGTTCGAGGATCGAGGTTCGAGGCTCGAGGGTCGAGGGTCGAGGTTCGAGGTCTCTGAAGGGATGCTGTTCATGAGGACGCACGAAGAGGATGCAAAGGCCTCGGAGGGCCCTTTCGAGGCTCTTCGAGCGGGGCGCGGCTAGCGAAGGTGGCCAAGGATGGGCCAAAGGAGCAAGGATACAAGGGGTACCCTTGGGAAGATTGGTGAGCGTTTTCTTATTTGGCGTTTCGACAATGGGCGGAAGGGGGGGGAGGGGGGGAGTCTGGCTCCAGACCTCTGCCTCATGCAGCTGCTAAGAACCGTGCGTCTTCTGGGGGAGACTCCCCCTGCTCGAAACAGACGCCCAACACAGCCAAGATCTGCTCCATGGAGACGGGGGGACGGGGGGGTGCGAGGGCCCGCGCCGATCGGCCAAACAATGAATAAAAAACTATCACTTGCCCATCCTTATTGTGCGGGCTGACTGTAGATGGGGTCGGAGGATCTCGCCGCACCGCCGACGCATCGCCGACGCATCGGCGATGCGGCACGATCATCCGACCCCGCCTGCCCCGACCCCACCCCGGAGGCCCAGCATCCCTGCCCCTGCCCGCACGCCGCGCGCCGCGCGCCTGTCGAGAGTGGATGCTGCGAGCTCGGCCGCGGCAGCCCTCGGGGACGAGGAGAAGGCGGCACCACCGCCATCGGCATAAGAGGCGCCGGGGAGTGACCTCCCGGTGGCGTGGACCCCCCCCCCGCCTCGCTCGCTCGAGGCGCGCCCCATCCCCAGCTCGGGGAGGCATCGTGGAGCTCCGCGCTGGAGGTGCGCCCCCCCCCCTGCTGGTGGTGGTGGTGGTGGTGGTGGTGGTGGTGTCGCTGCTCCTCCTCCCGAAGCCCAGACGTCCGAATAACTGATCCTTCTGCCACACGCCTTGTCCAAAGATCCGCCTCGAAGGAGAAGTTTCTGGCCCCTGGGCAATCCACAACAGAACATCCGGGAGAAGAACCTGCCCCGGCGCGAGGGGGTCGAGGTCTCTGGACCCGCGGACTGAAAAAAACGTCGGAGGCTGGTGAGACAGCAAGGAAAACGTAGCACCGCCGCATCGGTCGAAAGGCCGAGCAGGTCATCCCGCTCTAAACCAACAGCGTGCGCGGCTGCTGGCGGCTGGCCGGTCACAGTGGCAAAAACTGCGCTTCGAAAAAACAAGAGAAGTGTGAGAGAGACGGGGAGACAGAAACCGAGGCAGAGAGAGTGAGTTAGGAGGCAACTACTGGGAGGTTATCGTCGGAAAGACTAAGGAGGGTTACCCTGCATTTGGGAGCTATTACGCCGGAGTGGGCCTCGGATTAAGCGGGATTAAGCCGATTAAGCGGGATTCAGCTGGATTAAGCGGGATCAAGCGGGATCAAGCCGGATTAATCCGGACTTCGGACCAGTGCAAAATCAGAATTTGGCCTCCCAGGAGTTGCATCCCAAAGTGAGAGATAGAGAGAGAGAGGGAGAGACAGAGAGGAATACACGCACACACACACACACTCACACACACGTTTGGGCGTCGCGGCTCTGCGCGCGGCGACAGGGCGGATGAAGGCGCGGCGACCGGGCGGAGCGGGTCGTAAAGCAGCGAACGCGCGTGCGCGACTGGGAGCGCCTGAGCCCTCAGAGGCCGCTGAGGGTCCCGGAGCGGCCGAAGCACACACACAGACGTCCACACACAAACACACAAACACACACACACACACACACACACACACACCGAGGCGGAGACGCGTGTCCAGGGCGGCAGGGGCGGCCGCATGCCCGCCCCAGCTCGACTAGGAGCCGAGCGCAGCCCACATGAGCACGGGGCCCTCGAGACAGGCGCCCCCCCCCGCCCGCACAGTGAGAGCGGCGTGGTGGCAGGAGCGAAGCGCACCGCAGCAGCGCACCGCGGAAAAGACGGGCCGCCTCTTGGCAGAGCCAGCGATGGCGTGTTGGCGCCTGCAGGTTGCAGCACTGGGCGCAGGCTGGAGGCTTGTACATGGGCACCAACACCAGCACAGGGGGCAGCGCCTGGAACGGGAGGAAGATGATCCTAGATTTTAGTATCGTCGGTAGTCTTTCGGCCACCTAGGCAGCCCGAATAGTACCACCATCACCGAGATCGGGAACATCCCCCCTCGGTGGTGGCACACCGCCGATGCTGGTGTTGGTGCCAACCTCTTAGGCGGGCGAGCAGGGCAAGGCCCGCGCGGGCGCACGCAGAAGCGTGGACCGCGTGCCAGGCGCCGCGCTGGGCGTGAAGAAGAGACGAGCGTGAAGCACGCACAACCGGCGCCTCCGCAGGCGGGGTGCAGTGGCGCCTCGCCCCGGAAGGGTGGAAGGGCCCAGACGCCAGCGGCCGCGCTCAGGGGCACGGCCGCCCCCGGGAGCCCTCCCAACCGCCCCGCCCGCCGCGCCCGAGGGCGCAGCCAGCGAGGCGGACAGGAGAGAGCAGGGGATGCGCAAGGGCCACGCCACCCCCACAGCGCGGAGGAGGGGGGCCTTGCACCCACCCCCCAGAGGACCCGGGTGTCCAGGACGGGCGCCTGAGGATCGCGGAGGCCGCTCGCACCTCACGGAGGTGGCCGCTCGCGAGGGCCCCCGCCCGCGGGGGACTGCCGTGGAGTCGTCGAGGGCAGTGCGCAGAGGAAAGACAACCTCCAGTGCGGGGATGGACGTGAAGTGCGGCGGACAGGAGCGCCCCTGGGCTGCACCCGCGTCTGGCGACTGGGTGAGCCCTATGAGGCGAACAGCTCGCGGCAGGACTCTGTGGAGGAAGGAAGCAGCCGCAGCGAGGAGAGGCGGGGGTGCCGCAAGCAGTGGCGAAGAGGGCGGCTTATCCAACCAAGCGGTCCCGAGGACACCGTGCTGGCGCAGCTGCTTTTTGTCGTCGTCGTGGTTGCCCTCGTCGTCGCTCTCCTCCTCGGCGGGCAGTGGCGGGGCAAGGGCGGCCAGCCAGTGCTGGGTGAGAGGAGGAGGGCGGGTGGGGACAGTGTAATGACGTCGAGGTCGACAGATCGGGATCTGTCGTATCCGCACCCCAGTCGGCGGGGGCCGCGAATAGGCCAGCTTGCTGGTGCAGCGGCCTGTCATCGTCGTCGTCGCCGTCGTCTTGGCTCTGCCTCCTCCTCCTCCTCCTCCTGCTCCTCTTCCTCCTCCTCCTCCTCCTCCTCCTCCTCCTCCTCGCCATGCCGTTGTCGACAACGTGAGGGCAGTGGGAGGAGGGGATGCGCAGTGGCGCGTCGCGAGCGCAACGATGGGTGGGGTCAGCCTCGGGGGCGGTGACGGTCAGGCTGGACGGGAACAAGTTTGCGGTGTACCTGTTCGTCAGCATGACGACCCAATGTTCGTTCGCCTCCCCCGTTCGGTCGACGACGATGCCGTGAAGGCCGCTGATGGTGTGGTGCCTCTGGTTGCAGACGGTCACTTCGGTGCTCTCACCCGGATGGGGACGAGCAGGATGGGGGGCCAGGGGGAGGAGGAGGAGGAGGAGGAGGAGGAGGAGGAGGAGGAGGAGGAGGAGGAGGAGGAGGAGGAGGAGGAGGAGGAGGAGGAGGAGAAGGAGGAGGAGGAGGAGGAGGAGGGGGCCTGCGTCGGCCAAACACCCCGCGTGACGGTGCACGGGCCGCGAGGCCGTGGGTGTCTGCGGGAACCGGGTGGCCAGCCGGAGGCGGACCGCGCGGCTGCGGGCGAGGCCGGCGGAATGGTGGCCCGGGTGGCGCGCGCAGTGCATGAGAGTGGGTCGTGGTTGGGCGTGGCAGGATCACCCACTGCGGCAGATGCTGCACAATGGATGCACGCGACAGGCGGTGCTGTCGAGTGGTGGTGGCCGCCCGGCCAGCCGCTCCGTGGTCGGTGGTGGGCGCGGACGTCCGTGGGCTGCTCGGGGAGGGGTTGGACGAGCGATCGCGACTCTTCGTCAGCTGGAACTTCGTCGGCAGCAGTCGTGGCGAGCCCGCTGTGGGGTAACTCATGGGAGGCTCGGAATGGATCCGAAGCGTGGCTTCAGGAGTTGGCGGGTCAGCAATCGCGAAACTTGCAGCCTCTCCAGGTAGGCATGAGATTGCGAAGAAGACGTTGCGTATGGCCGTATACTGAGAATCGGCCGTGGCGGGCAGCCTGGTGCTCACACGAGGGCGTGGCAGGCGCGTCTTCAGCTTCTGGTGCAGCAGAAGATGTCCACCCGAGAGCTGGTGCAACCTGGGTGGAACAGCCACCTGGCCAACCACTCTGCGAGTGCTGTTGCGTGAGAAGGGGAAACACGAGCGATCGGGGATAGACGTCGGTGGAAAGCTCGTCGGCATGGTGCGCAGGGGTCTCGTCGCAGGCGTGCAAAACAGCGCGGCGAGGTCAGTGGACCAGGTGGGTATTGGGGGAGGGAGGAAGGGAACGCGGTATGAGTGTGACGACGGTCGCGCGTTGCCGTGGCAGGCACTCTCGATACAGCCAGTGCTGCAGGGGTGCAGCCGGTGCCGCCGCCTGGCCAGTCCGCCAGCTTTCATTCTCCACGCATCCTGCTGGGGAGGGCCTGCGGATGGTGCGGGGGTGGGAGCGCAGCGACCTGCGGCGCGGCGTCGGGACACCACGGCGGTGAACTGCACAGGGGGGGGGGTCGCAAAGAAGATGTGAGGTCGCGAAGGTGGACCCGCGACGGCCGAGGCAGTGATCGTCGGTTGGCGGGGCGCATCGCCACGGCCGCGAGGATGGCTGGCGTCGAGATCATACGGCTATGGATCACGTGGTTTTTCTGGGCTCGGCGTGCGAGGTGGCCTTGCCGCTTTGGAGCCGGCGGGCAGCATGCCCGCTGGCCACCGTCGCAGGGCAGGTGCTGGCCGCGGCGGCGGTCGTCGGTCGTCGGTCGTCGGACGTCGGTCGTTGGTGGTCGCGGCGGCAGGTGCCGCGAACGGCCGCTGGAGCCTCGGCAGCGACGCGCGTGGGGTCGGAACGGAAAGCATGAAAAGCGTCGCGTGCACCGTGAAGGTCACTCCGGAGATCGAGTATATCGCCCCGTAGATCATAGAGGTCGCCGTGGGACGCCATGAACGTGAGAAGGATCCTCAGGGGGATCACGACGGTCATGTCGGTCGCGAACGGACGCGCACAGCCGCACAGCTTGTGGTCGCTGACATTGACAATGACCAAAATATTGAATGGTTTTTCGGTCGGCCTGTAGATTGTGATTCCCTGGCTCTCACGCCTACATGTGGGTTCTCTAACACGAGGCCGACATCTGCGCGACGCGGCACCGAGCGTGTGACACAAGCGATTTTGCGGCCGGGAGAAGACCCGATGATGGCGCCGAACGACAATTGAGGATAAAAAAAAAGCCGCCTGCATGCAACCCTCGGCGCGCCAAGGGCGCAGTTTCGGCGACTGGGACTGCGGGGGGACTCCTCGTCGAAAGGAATGTACCGAGAAACGTTCCTGATCGGCCAGTAACACTCAGACATCTCCAAGACTTGGCCGAAACACCCAAAGGACCTTCCAAGATGGCACAAGCACCTGATACACCCAAGAGGGACTTGGCACAGCCAGTATGAAGCACGAGAGAGCGCGCGACCCCCAAGAGAGGCCTGATAAACCCCAAAGCAAGCCCCCCCTAGAGGCCTGCGGAGAGCAACGTGGATGCTCCCCTAGCAAACGCGCAGCCAAGACCCGCGACGCGACTGGTGAAATGAACAGTTTGCTGTCTTGGCCAACGCAAAACCAAGAATCTCGCATGCCACCGATCCGGGCTAGCGAAGGCTCCAGAAGGCGGACGCTGCGCGCGCCCCGAGGCGGAGGGCTGATCGACGCAGGCCCACGCCCCCACTTGACCAGCGACGCAGCGGGCGCAGCTCTGCGCCTGAAGCATGCGAGAATAATTTTCAAATATCAGCTCACCAAATATGGGTCCCATCGATATGCTGGAGCGCCTTAAAAGGATACGCTGCTTAAGGAAGATCGAGCCGCGAGCAAGCAACCACATGCGGCCTAAGTTCCTGTTCGGGGTCCGCTCGAACCAACTGAAAGGCCGACGCATCGAGCCGCTTGGCGTTTTCCAACGATCGGAATTTGCAAACGTCTGGCATGCTGGCCGTCCACGAAGAGGCTGGCAGCCTCTCGGGATGGCAATATTTACTTGGTTGAGGCAGTTGGCGGAAGCAACATGGAAAAATGGGGGCACGCCTCAAAATAATGTGTTGAAACGTCTGCAATAGAAAAGACGACAAAGTAATATAATTTTAGGATTTCTGCTTCCGACTGGATGGTGAAAACGTGCGGAAGCTGCGGAGGTGGCGGCACGCGACTCTGAGCGAGAGAGAGAGAGAGAGAGAGAACAAACAAAAAACGAAAAACAACGAGAGAGAGAGAGGGAGAAGGAGAGAGAGATCAAAGAGAGAGAGAGAGAGCGAGAGAAAACAACACATAAAAAAGAGCGAGGGCGACAGAGAGAGCCAGATAACTCAAGAGAGTGAGGGCGAGAGGGGTATATATATATAGAGAGAGAAAGAGAACAACAAAAAAAGAGAGAAAGAGCTATGTATATATATAGAGAGAGAAGAGAGAATGAGAGGGCGAGAGAAACCAACAAAATGCAGACATATCCAGACACGACAGCGGCAATGCCAGCTGCAAGTGCACTGACACGGCTTGCGCGTCGGGGGCGGAGATCGCTAGGGAAATGGTTCTGACGTGCGAGCTATCCCATCGTACACGCTGCGTCTAGGTATGTAGCTGCTACAAGGACACCCCCTTAATTGATGAACCAACAGATGGACGGACCGACTTACGCAGTGCAGAGAAGAAATCAAGCAGAAAACCGAGAGACCCCATCAGGGGTGCGGTCGGACCTAGGACATAATCAAATCCTCCAGGAACATAAGACCCTCCGCCGGGACAGGAGAACCGTCCTTCAGGGTACCATTTCCCAGGATGCATCGTAACAAACAGCACATACGAAGAACATTAGGGCACCTTCCCCGAACAGACCTCGATC